CATAAACTGGACGTTAGGTTTCAAAATAAATAAATGTTCGAATAAGGAATATAGTATATTATATAAAGGAATATGTGATAAGCATAAAAATCAAGACTTGGAATACATGCATTGTAAAACCTTGTTTAAAAAATGTACTTACTTGAGTTTTACGAGCAATGGTACAGTGTAGATGAATACATTGATTTGAAATACAAACAGGAAAAACACCCGAAAATGTTCAAACATTTCCGTAAAGAAATACCAAAACACTCCCATATTAGGTCTAAGATTTGGAACTGAGAGTCTGCAACAAGAAAAGCACAATTATAATGCATGTTGTTATGAATGATACAATTTTCTATATCAGAAGTGCATTTTTAATAAGGTACATTCAAACCAGACAAGTTAGCTCCCATCATGCATCACAGAGAAACTAACTTTTTAGATAAAAACGCGATTCTAAAACGGGTCCATGAGTAATGCAGCTTTGATCACATAGATTGAACCATATCAAAGAGTGCAAAATATACTTACATAAAACCATATGTTGAATACAGGAAATCAGCTGATGAAAACATTAAATAGGATAACAGTAGTAACCATGCCAGCCAGACAACAAATACACATATAGTTTTTGCTATGGAAACCATAATTTTGGGAGATTTGTAATCAATATCCAACTTATCCTTCTAAAAAAAAATAGGAAACAAGATTAAATGTGGAAAAAAAATACCACAGAGCTAGAAACACTACACGGGATACAGGTCTTATCAGGATGGTATGACACTTACCTGTGCTAGAAACACTGCACATGGTGCAATTAACATAGCAGGGTAAAGTGATTGATATGTTGCTATGGCAATGGCTAATGTTGATATTGCTCTATTTCCTATGAAACAAAGAATATAGATATGAACATAAATTTTGATTCATTTGGCAAGTATAGATCACCATTTTATGCTTTAGACATTCCCCAATACCTCTGTTCTGAGAAGGTAGATACATAATTTCTTGTTTTGTCATAAAAATTTAAACTCATCGGACAAAAAAAAAAATATGTATAAAGTTGTGCTTCTTCGTCTTAGGGAAGAGTGAAAAATGACATAGTGACAGGGTTTTATTTAATCTTTTGTATTACCAATAACAACGTTTTAGGTTTATTGAACAATGCTTTCAAATACATACACTAAAGGTTGATTTTGATGAACAAAACTTTATCTGAAAAAGAAAACAAACATTTTCCTATTCTACTGTATGTGGCACATTTACTGGTACAAAAATAAAATGCCTGAGAAGCAGGTTACAATTAAAATGATGTGCATGATGCTGTTAAGCCAATGTTTTTTTTGTTTTTGTACTTATGCGTCAGATGACCATAGTGTGTCATTATTTGCAAACAAGTGCCTACCCATGAGCCTCTGCGTTTTTAGCGTGTGTTGTTATCGTCGGCTGGGAACTTAATTCCTGTGCGTGCACATATGACGACCCTCTCGCTTTAATCATTTCCTCATTAATATAAAATTTTCAAAGTAACCAGTATCACCATGGTGATGTCTTACCTTTTAATGTATACAGTATTGCTATAGTGATGGCTAAATTATTGAGCAAGATTGTTGATTTAGCAACACAGGTTGCTATGGTGTAAGGGTTTAATAAATACCTGAAAGATGAAAAAATGTAATGAATTATATATGGTACCTGTCAAACCACATCAACTCCCCCCCCCCAGAAAAAACATATTTTTTTATAATTTTAGGGAGTTAGGAAATTATATACATATAGTTCAAAACAAAAGAAGAAAAATACAAAAAATCATAACCCTAAATCAATATCCATTACATTAATTAATCTTTAGTTTTTGATGCAACAACTGAATAATTGGAATACTTACAAGGCAGCTACTTGATCAGGAATTTCACACAAATTAGAAAACTTTATCAATATAGTGTTAGCATCTTTAGCAATTTTCTTTCTCATAGATATTTGTCTGTCATACTATAAATACAAACAACAACAACAACAACAACAAAAATAAATAAATTAATTTATTTATTTATTTGAAACATTTAAATTGTGAAATTATATATATAATTATATAAATATGGGAATGGGTTTTTGTATCAATAGTGGATAAATAATTCATTGAATTAATTTTAATATTGTTTAATGTTTTAGAGAAGACAGTAAAAGCAAATTTAAATGAATGAATTGAAAATTTTTGATTTTCATCACAAAGCTTTATAGAATTAGGTATACTTCTGTATAACACTTTGCATTTTGATTGTGATTATACAAGTGTTTACCTAGTCCAATGTTGGTCATTCATTCCTCTCACACTCCTTTTATGGATATAGTCCTGTATGTATTCGACTACGTAGGATTTATAGAGTTTCTTACCAGAAGTTTACCAGTTGATGAAGCAATGCATCGTAAT